ATAGAGAGAGCGAGAGAGAGAGAGAGGGGGGGGGAGGCGGCGGACAGACAGAAACAGAAAGAAAGAGGAAGAGAGAAAACGAGGAGACAAAAACAGTGGTAGATGATACAAAAGTAGATAAATGAATTATTTTCACAATTTTAGTGACTATTTCTCCCGGTTAGAGTTTGGTTTGATCATAGATAGTACTTTCCCGAATCCCTCTTAATCGTACTCAGTTGAATTTGCCCTTTTCAGAGCCCCCGTTTGGCCGTGGCTGTATGTACGTCTCTGTGCCAATGTAGTTCTTCGTGAGTCGATTATGCCTGCATAGATTGTTACATAGATAACATAGATAGATTTCTTAGTTTGGTGTCTGTTCATCTGGGTTTGGGCCTGGTTTTCAAGCCTCTAATTTTTCCACCTATTCCTATACTTCTCAATATACCTAGTGCAGTTTGCTCATTTAACAGTGCTTTATGTGTGTGGCTGACGTGTGCTTTGGTGGGGTTTGCTCCTTTCGTACTGAACATCTGATCGTCCCTATCTTTCGTCCTTCTTTCCTTTGTTATGCTACTCTATAGTAATACCTCTAATATTCGGCACGTATGTATGACCTTTTTGTGTTGCAAGTGCCATAAAGTTCTTATTGAGTGGGTTGTTGGTGAGCACTCTGGTGTGGTTTGCTCTTTTTTCCCTATCAAACACGTATCCTCCTTATCTCTCCTCCTTTTTTTGTGTATGTTACTCTCTTGTAACACATCTATTCTTCTGCACTTATATGACTTTATTGTGTTGCAAGTGCCGTAAAACTCTTATTAAACTTCCGTTGTCGTATGCGCGTCACTGAGTCAGTGTTTGCCGTGAAGCGAGCAGTTCTGCTTAATATCCTCTGTTGTCCTTAATGGTTTAATGGGCGCTGTCAGCCGGTCAGTTTTGCAGCGTGTTTTGCTGCTTGGATTGTGATATTGACGTGCTGATTAACAGCGAATGTTCTTAGTTACCTCTGCCATTCCTATTTGCTCCCCCCCCTCTTCCTCTGCTTTGGTCTCACTCCCCCCCCCCCCTTCTTCCTCTGCTTTGGTCTCACTCCCCCTCCTCCTCCCCCTTCTCCTCGTCCTGTTCCTCGTCCTCCCCCTCCTCTTAGACAATAGTGTCAGTGCTGTGAATGCAACAACCTGCTGTTGTTCTACTTTATTATCAAAATTAGAGAGAGAGAGAGAGAGAGAGAGAGAGAGAGAGAGAGAGAGAGAGAGAGAGAGAGGGAGGGGGGGAGGGAGGGAGGGAGAGAGGGAGGGGGGGGGAGAGACACCTCCTTGATGATCTAAAGTGTGTCAGTGGGGGTGTAACAATAGCAGGTCATTACATTTTTTAAATAATACACCCTAATCGTGGGGTTTAGTGGATCATTGTATGGGTTTAGATACAAGTTATACCGTGATTGTGGTTGAGTTTGAGTCCCTTGTGTATGTTGAAGTTTCATGAGCGGCTTTAAGTGTTTAAAGTTTGTGTGCATTTCACTGTGTTTGGGGTGAGCCATTAGCTCAGCTGGTATCATACTTTGTTGTGATCCGCATGACTGGGGTTCGAGTCTCCAGTGGGGGTTCTTGTGCTGGTGTGGTTTGCTCCATTTTCCCTATCAAACACCTACCATCCATATCTCTCCAGCTTCTTTCTGTTTGTTTCTTAACAGTAACACCTCTAATCTTTGGCTCTTATACGATTTTATTGTTCTGCAAATCTTGTAAAACTCTTTTTAAAACTGAAATGAACAACTAAATGGGGGTTCTTGACCTTTGGTCGCTTGGGATATTTTTGAGGCTGCCACCTACTTAGCCCTGTTCTGTCAGAGATAGATGTTATATTCAGAGGCGTTGCCCATTAAATAATCTCAACAGTGTTGAACGGGAGACAAAACTCATACAATTATCTATTATATTTCCTATGTGTTTGTTTTATTCCCAGGTGAACTGAATGACCAGGATGCCGCAAAGCTGGAGATTAAAGTCGTACGATATGTGAGTTCAGTTTTGCATCACAGCCATATTATTTTAATTCTGCAACCTAAATGCGTGTGTAATTTCAATTTTCATCACAGCTACATTGTTTAAATTCTACACTATAAATCTGCTTTAAGAGTAATAGAGATTATCAAAGCGTATGTTTAGGCTTGAATAAATGAAAGTCCACCCTTAGGACTGTGGGTGTTTAGACAATAGATAAAAGAAACGCAATACTATATGGATATGGATGATGCATGGACAGACCCTTCTTTGAAACTTTCACAGAGTGAGTGTTGAACACAGGGTATTGGGCAATGTTATTCTTTTATTTCCCCTCCCTTGATCGCGAAGCCACATAAATCACAGGCTCATTTGTAAATGCCTAGTCCCATATGAATTGTCTGGGCCAAGTACAACCGACCCACTCACATGAATCTTGTTGAACCTTAAATGATAGAAATGGGGTGATGGGAGCTGCGAATGAGAGGTGGGCCACTTACGCCCGCCGCCCTGCTTTGCTTGACGATGGATGGTGGGTGTTTTGCTGCAACGACAGCTGTTGAGCTCACTCGTGGGTGGCTGTTCTATATAAACGAGACCCTTGGCTTAAATGGACACTAATTTGAAAAGCTGTTTTTAGCACAGCGTCTGTTTCTGAGCTGAAAAGATTTTGTACATAGTGTTGGAATTTAGTTTGTAAGATGTTTATACCTGAAATATACAGTGGGGTTGTTTTTTGTTGTTGGCATAAGTAGAATGCTATAACACTTATTCAAACCAGAACTGATTGCCTATTGTGCTGGAATTTCTGGGATAAAGGAAAGTAGTTGTTAGTGCAGCCAATATCCTTCACGAAGATTTTTCTTCCAATCTCATTACATGGAAGAATTGGTTTGTAACAGCGAGGTGCTTGGTAGTGCACGTCGTGTGTTCAAAATATACCGGTTGTTGAGCTCTTGTCTCCCCCCACAGTTGCAACAACAGACAGAGGCAGAGAGTGGCTTCTTGCTGCTGGTGGTGCCAGAGACACAGATGCTGTTCTGTCAGGTGAGTTGTCATCTCAGTTTTCCCACATTTGTGTTGTTAAGGTTTGGTTGTTGTTTTTTCTTTTTCTGACGAAATCTGAGTCAGTTATATTTACACTACTTTTAGGGAAATGCACTTGTCTTTCCTACTGAAGGGGACTCACATTGTATGTCTTGTACAAGAATACAGCACTGATTTGAAAAAGATCAGTAGATTTGGTTTTTTAAGCTATTGGAATAATTTTTTTGTTTTGTTTTGTTTTGTTTTTGTTTTTTAATCTAGACCTTTATGTATACATGCATTCATTAAACTATTTAGAGTGATTTTGATTTTTTTGGTGTTTTTATATTTTTTTTTTTATTAAAAAGGGGATATTAAAATGAATCATTGACATGACAACTGGCCTCCAATTCCCTGTTTACAGTTTTATTATTATTTTTTTTTTTCAAGAGAAGTATAGTTGTAAAGTCTGGGTACCCAGCTTTGGTTGGTGGTCAGTTGTCTTGTTTTCCCATTGAAGTTAGCCTGCAACTACGAAATGATAAATGTTTCTAAAAGGTTTTTCCATTTCACTCTTTCCATTCTTAGGCGGTTGGAGACTCAGTCCTTCAGGAGGAAGTGCGGTTTGCTGTAAGTTTTTACCACATCACCTTTCTTTTTCATTTTTTCTTATGTTTACATGATTTTTGTATCTTGTCCTGACAGTTTAAGTTTACATATTTAATTTTGTGTGATGGAATATATCAGATGTGACTATATTATCTTACATTGATATTTATTTTGCAATAATATTATTGTGAACAAGCTTAATTTTTTACCTTTTTCTTATACAAAAGTTGACTGTTCTTTGTTAGTTGCATTTCTACTCATAACCGTATTGGTTGATGCTACTAATAATAATTCCAATCTCCATTTTACAAAGTTAGGTTCTTCAGTTTTTTCAACAATTATCTGTTCCAAGTCTTAAGTAGAATATTAGCCCACACGCTCTGTTTCATTTATAACTTGTCAGAATTGAAAGGCTCTAAGCTTCCAGTCAAGCAAGAATTTTGGTTATTTTTGCTTTCCTGACACTATGAATCCCCCCCCCCCCCCCCCCCCCTCCCAACTATTAAAAAAAAAATGAAGCAGTTTTGAAATTTAGATATCTATTTTGAGTTTATACATAAGGATATCAATAGTTATGATTTGTTTAAAAAATGTGATGAAGTAAGTTTGGAACTCCCTCTTCACGCTGTACAATTATTATTGTACTGTCTCGATGATTTCCCTCAGGGTGCATCAAGTTGTTTTGCACAAGCATTGGAAACCAAGCAGCCCATGACTCTTGACGATATACCGGAGGTATGGATATTAATTTTATGAGTGGTGATTAATATTTTGTAATTATTCATGTTTTCTTTTCATTTCTATGTGCTTTTGATTCTTTGCAACATTTTTGTAAAGAATACTTTTGATTTACAGGTATTATTAAGAAAGTTTTCAAAAGCATGCTGCTAGGCTTGTACTAAAGAAAAAAGAAGAGGGACCACATTACTCCCATGTTAAGAACGTTGCATTGGCTTCCCGTATCAGCTAGAATGTCATATAAAATTGCAATATTATGTCATAAATGTGTCAATAACAAAGCTCCCTCATATCTTAATGATCTCATCCAGATTTATGTTCCATCTAGATCACTAAGATCAGGCGATCAGTATCTTTTAAGAGTTCCTAGAAAAGGGGGTAAAAAATTAGCCGAAAGATCGTTTGCCCACCTTGCTCCATCAGTTTGGAACTCTCTTCCCCAACCCTTGAGACATACAACATCTGAGTCTAAATTTTTAAAATCTTTAAAGACACATTTAATGACATAATTTTTATGTCAGTAGATTCATGTTCAATACAATGTTATGTAAATGACTATGTATCCATTTATGTATTTTGTGAACTGCATTGTGTATATTATTTTATGCTCATTTCGTGACGATGTGTAAGCGTGCGCATGTGATAAGCAAGTAGATGTGTGTGTGTGCGTGTGTGTGTGTATGTGTTTGGCGTACATGTGTGTGCTCATGTGTGCGTGTTATGTGTTCGTGAGTGTTTGTGTATGTGTGTGTGTATGAGTGTGTGTATTTTTGTGTTTGTGTTGCGTGCGTGAATATTGTTCGTACATGCATTTATGTAAAGCACCTAGAGCTGTGTTTACACGGGAGAGGGCGCTATAGAAATGATCTTCATTATCATTATTATTATTATTATTATTAAGTAAAAGCAAGTCTATTTTCCATGTTTTGTGCTACAATTTCCCATTTTATCTCTGTGTCTACTGCAATGAAGACCTGGTCATATTAATGCCACAGCCTTACTTAATGATTGTAGTGTCTTTTTTGCAGTTTCAGTTTTGCTGCATCTCAGTGTTTAAGTTTTGAATCAAAGAATTTTTTAACAGGTCGATTGCAGGTTGTCTTTGTAGGTTCTTTTGTCCGTCTTCTCTATTTTTTTTCTGCCTTTATGTCTTACTAAATGTGTGTTATTATGTTGATATGCCTCTTTTTATTTTAAGAACTTTTTATAAAAAGTCCTGTATCGTTGTTTGAGCTGTCATTGAAGAGCTAATATAAAGAATATTTTCACAAATTCTTCCCAGGATCGTCGGCAGGAGGTGGAGAAGATAATCCGTCGTCAGGTCCATTCTCTGTTGTGTGTGCCTGTGTGTGTCAAAGACAGCAAAGACCTTCTGGCTCTGGCCTGTGTTGTGAACAAATACAATGGAGAAAGGTTGTCACTTCTTTCCTTGCTTGGTTTGTTTTCACATTGGGTTTTTTTTTTGCTCTCTGACTATTACACTATAAGCAGACTTATTTCTTTCTACCGTTCAAGGATGCAAAAAAAAAAAAAAAGGATCAAAGAATAATATGAAAAACTTTCGCATCAGAATGTTTGTTCTTGTTTTATTTGGTCTAGGAAAGTCAAATTTATATATTTTAACACAAAAGTATCAATGTTTTTCGTTTTGCTGTAATTTTTCTTTTCCGTGAACCTATTATTTGTTCATAAAATTGATGCTGAGGTTGTGGTGTTCTTGACATAAGTCACAAACTTGAATAAGTATCAGAAAAGATAACTTCTTTTCATAGATGAATTGTTTTTACCAGAATGTTTCAAGTAAGGGAAGTAACCATAGGATAAAATTCCCTGGTTTAGTTATTGGGAATATCCCCTTTGTGGATTTGCATCTTACCAGCGTTGTCAAAATAAGGGCAATAGGGTGCCACTGGTAGGTCCTGCTACCTCTTTCCTTTCACTCTGTCTTTTCTGTCTTTGTCTTGCATACTTTGTCTTGCTTTTAACCTGCTCTAGATAGTCTTAATTATGTTGATGTGCTTCTATTGATTAAAAAAACCCACTAGCATTAGGAATGGATTAAATGTATGTTTTGACATCTCCCTTTCCCCCCACGTCCCACATACAGGTTCTCAGGGGAGGATGTAGACATCATCCGTCAGTGCTTCAAGTACACTGCCACCGTCCTCACCAGCACACTGGCCTTCCAGAATGAGAGGAAGTTGAAAAATCAAACTCAGGTAAGCATTGATTGAATCGTGCACAGACATGGCAGAATGTGACTCCTCTTGAGAGAAAGCTCTATGGCAGTCTCTCAGATTTGAAGCAGACTGCCCAGTTTGTGCGCGACATTGGACTGACTGTGTAGGTTCTGTCATCGAGAACAAGAAAGAAGAAGAAGAAAATTGATTGATGGAGTTGTAATATCTTCTGTGTTGGTGGGATAGTTAGGTTAAAAAAAAAGATCTCATTCGTGTTTGTTTATGTATGTGAGTGTGTGCATGCGTGCATGTGAATGAGAGAGAGTGTGTAGCTGATAGCTGAAATTATTTAACAGAGATTTTATATAAACTCTTCAATATGGGCAGTCAGAAGGACTTCTTTAGTCCCAAATCTGTAATTTTGTCCTTTTATTTATACAGTACTATGAACGCCTTTGCATCAGCATGCTTGTCTCTCATGAAGCGAAAACTGCAATGAATACTGAAGCCACTCTAATCAGTATAAATGTTAAATGAACTTAGAAAATGGCATGAGGCTGCCTTTCAGGCAAAGAATGATTCTATATTCTATCTTGATGAATAGCCATGTATGTAAAAATGAAGTGCACTCAGAGATTGAGTTCTTATCGTCAGTTGCCCCTGAGCTCTCACTGGGGTACGCAGAAGAAGAAAAAGGAGAACTGAATTTCGTATGAATTTTGTAATTTGAGAAGCATCTTTAAAGTGTTTGCAAGGTATTAGATTCAGAATTGTGTTTTATAAGAGTGTAATAAAATGTACTTTGTCCCAACTTTCAGGCTTTGTTGCTGGTGGCAAGAAAGTTGTTTACAAGACTAGGTAAGTTGATCAGAGAAAGGACAATTCAGCCCAGCCATTCACTCATGAATGAATATTCATCATCCCACCTCATTCATCCAAATGATATGAATGATTCAGGAAATAGACTAGGACTTTGTAGCTCTTTTCCCTATTCAGCCTCTGGGCATGCAGATACGTCTGTGAGAACAAGGAAGAAGAATGAAGTCGATCAAGTTTTGGATGACTCTACAAAGACACGTGAGCCTGCAGCGGAGACAAATGAGGTCGAAGACGTTCATGAGTGGCGCTGCTTGGTGGCCAGCGGAAATAGTGGTGTCTCAAAGCCATTGTCTTGTGGGAGGAAACGAGTTAACTGTAAGCCATCGAAGATTCCCGTCAGAAATCCTCAGACATTGAAGCCAGTTTATCCCAGCAGTGTGGCTGCACAGATTGATGGAGTGATGTCTCAGACTGAAGAGCAAGATTCTGTTTTGTCTTCTCAGACATTTGTGGAAGGACATCGGAGTTGTACGAGTTTAAAGTCTGGAGTGAAGAAGGATACCAGTCAGGGTTATCCGCTGACAGTGTCATCTGAGACTGAAGTACATGTCTGCTCAGATCTGCGAGGGTCGAAAAGTGAACAAATGAAGAGGAAGCCACCTTTAGGTTCAACCGCTGTGGTGATTCCATCATCAGTGGAAGCGAGCACTCAGTGTAAGTGCTCCATCTTGAACAAGGCTGTTGAGATAGCAAGGTGTCTGTCTCGGGATTCTGATGCTCCGTGCCACAGTGTTGTGGTACTGCCTGTTGACACTTGTGTGGAAACAAAAAATGTACAACCTAGTTGTGGAAACAGAGAAGTATGTAAAGAGTACCATCACAAAGATATGTATGAAGAGTCTGTTCCTAAAGATGCTTGTACCCAGACAGGTGAAAAGTGCTCAGAAATTGAAGAACAGCTCAAACTGTTAGACAATCTGTTTCAGAACACTCCAGAGGTTTTAGCACTATGTGAAACTGAGTCGAAAGGTATTCAAGTCACAGACAAGGCAGGATTAATGAAAAGGGCAGACATGTTTGGTGAAGAAAATGTCCATTTTATGATGAATAAATGTGTGACTGAAGATGATGCTGAAGGCTTGCTACGCGGTTTTATGGAAGAAGGTTTTGATGTACAGCCCATGCAGACAGAAACAAATTTTTGTGATGGAATGGGAACTGACAGCACACACAAGTTCAGGAGTAGACCAGAGGAATCAGGTCTTGATCACATTGTGAGGAGTTCTGTCAGGATGGGGTCAAATGATGAACATTTGATCGACCGTGGCGTGACTCAAGCTGTCATGCCTGATAAGTCAACGTCAACAACAGAGAATGATGAACTAATGAATAACCAAAATTTTACTTTGGTGACAGTCCCTGTAGAAGGTACAACATCTGCTTACAGTTGTGTAGAAAGGATCAATAAAGTTGGCAAGGTTTTTAGTTATGCAGACAGTGAGATAGATGAGGCTGAGTATGAAAGTGTTGTCTCTGGCCTGTCTTTCGGCTCTTTTCACACTGCTCTCGATCAGCCTGACATAGATGTCCAGAACAGTTTCACTGTAGAGTCCTCTAGCAGTAAAGTGGCCTCTTGGCTGCAGTATGGTCGTGTGAATGGAGACACGCTAAATTCTGAGGGGACCATACAGGGTGTGAGCAAGTTAACATTGTCCCCACCCACCAATGTACAGATGAATGAACAGTCATTGTGTTTGAGTGCTGATGCTATGGTGCTCTTGTCTTCAGATGTTGGCACTGAATGCTGTGCCCTGGAGTCTCTCAAGCCATGTTCTCAATTGCCAGATGTTGTAGAGGAAGTCCCTGAAGTTTGTGTGGATAGCTTGTATTCTGAGGGTGTTGAGAAGTTTAGACTGAGGCAGCTAAAGAAAGAAGAAGAAAGAGAAGAGATGAACACAGAGGAAAGAGAAAATGAACAGAGAGGAGACCACTGGCACCAAGTGGGGAAACAAGAAGATATTGAAGATGTTAACCGAGAGGGGAGTGAGTATGAAAAAGAGGAAATAAATCTTCTTGTGGCTGAAGAAGGAAAAGAGGGGATAAACTTAGAGGGAAAGGGAGAAGAAGAGATGAACACAGAATGGAATGAAGGCGAAGAAGGCATACACCATCTGAAAAATAATGAAGAAAAAGAGAAAAGTGATTCTAGGGCTAGAGGAGAGGAAGTGAACCAACTGCTTGCTGAACAAGAGCAAAGTGCTGTGGAAAATGTATCGATGGCAGTGGATGTAAGCCTTATCTGTAAATGTGTCAGTGGCTGTTGTAACTGTGTTTGGGCTCAGACTGAGTGCGGACGTGACTGCAAAGATGAGCCTGACCAAAACATTGAAGGGACAGAGAACTCTTTTGACAGTTCTATGACTGCAGATCAGCAAATAGACAAGGAGGGGGAGTTTGTCTCGGAGTGTGGCATTATTTTTCAAGAATCAGATGAGAGGCTTATTGTGGAGAAAATGTCTTTGGTGTCTACACAAGAGCATGATATTGACAGAACAGGCAGGTGTGATATTCAGCATTTTGTTGACCTCCCTTCCAGTGCAGGAAGAGAAAACCTTGACAGAGGACAGTTCTCTTCAGAAGAGGATCTTTCTAAAGAATGTGATGCTAGTGGGCAGAAGATTGAAGCCCAGTTACTTGAGAAAAACAAGGATGCAGGTGAACTTGGTGCTTTGGAGAAACCTAGTTTTTGTGTCCTTTGTGGAGTTTGTGAGCAGCACAGCTGTAGCTTGCCCTTCATAGACAATGATTGGATGTCAGAATCAGATGATGGCGAGTCTGTATTCATGTCTGCTTGCAGTTCTTTGACGACTTGGAACAATGGAGCCTCAAACAAGAAACCTTCTTTGTCTGGTGTAGAACAAACTGAAAGCTTTTATTCTGTCGATAGTGGTAGGGATTTGGGGGAAGTTGGAACTTTGATGGCTAAAGTACAACTGTCAGTCCCCTTTAGTGAGGATGATGGGGCAAGAATAAGAAAGATCAAGGATGGGAGACTGTCTGAGGACATAACTAGAGCCACAGACAAGTTTGAGGTGAATGATATCTTGTCAGAAGAGGATTGCAATGAGTTAGAAACCAGAAAAGAAAACAAAGTAGGGGAAGAGGTTGAAAAGGGAGATGTAGATGAAGACAGCAAAAAGGATGGGAAAATTAAAGAAGTAAATAAGGAAAGGAAAGATGATGACGTTGAAGAAGAAAATAGAGATGGAAAAAGAACTGATGGTGGAAGAGAAGATGATACAGAAATAGAAAAAGAAAGCAAAGATCAGGGGGTTCCTCTTGTTAACAAAATTTTGAACAAGGGAAACTGGGAAAGTGTAAGACCTCAAGCTAAATGTCAAGACAGGAGAACGAAAGTTGAATATCAAGATGGGTCTGGGTGCGTTGCCAAACCTCAGGAAATAGTGGTTTGTCGTGGAATCGAAGTATTTGAAGGAGGCACTCAAGTTCCTGGTGAAGAGATGACTGAAACTGGTTTGATGCATAACAGGAAAGAAGAGGATGAAGATGTGTCTGATGTCTATGGAATGAAGAGTTCATATGAAAAATGTGTGTCAGAGGGAGGTGCTGCTAAGACTGAAACTTCACACGAAGAAGGAGGGTTGAGCTGTGCACTGCTTGACATGGAGTCGGTCAAAAATATTAAAAAGCTTTTACATAAAGAAATGAGCAAAGGGACAGAACTCATGCTTCACCTAGCCGAGGAAGAACATGTTGAAGTCCCTCTTTCAAACATACGAAAAAGGAAGACAGATATTTTTGCCGTTGAAAAAGTGGAAGATGTAAGTGACATTTCTAATGAAGAAATGGAAGGTGAAGATGATACATCGGACATAAAAATACAGAATAGAGAAGACGTCACTGACAAAAACAAACAGGAAGAAGATGAATCTGGGGTCAAAGAAGTACTTGAAGACCTTGGGCTGCTCAGAAATGTACTGTCAGTGCCCGAGTGTGCTGGGTTTTTCAGTGCTGCACCACACAGTGGGTTCAGTCATTGTGATGCAGGGGAACTCAAAGAGGATTTCACCACTAAACATGGTGCTTGTGACTACTGTCGTCTTTCTCACTGTTTTGGAGACGGGTGTCAAGATCCGGGTGTGTTGGTGAAGTCACACCAACAGTCACCAGGTTTGGACGTTCATGCCTTCACATCACCTGTCAATATTCCTCCGAGTGAGACAAGATGTTCCGCAAATTTAGATATTTCTGCATCGAATGAAATGTTTGCTGAGGGCTGTGATAATCTCACTGTTCTCTCTCAACCCTCAGAGGAAGATGAGAAAGATAAGTTGGTCGGGGAGAATTTGGTCTCGGATATCCACGGAGGTCAGTGTGCTTTTGAGGAGACTTTCTTGAGTGATGTGTCTGGAGTGTCATTGGGGTTTTCGTCTGAAGATGAAGGAACAGATCCAGAGCTGCTGTTTGACATGTCTGGCTTAGATAACTCTGTCTCAGGATGCTATCTGTTATCAAAAAGATGTGAAGCTAATGATACTGTGTATAAGGACAGTGTGATATCCAGTTTCAACTCTTTTTCAAACACTGGCACGTTGCTCAACACATCCGCGTCTCATGATCATGACTATTTGTCAGCGAAAATCTGTGACTCAGCTGTGTCAAGAAGTGCATTGTCTTATGTTCAGGACGACATGAATCGTCATCATGCTGACAGAAATATGTCAGCATTACCAGGGCAGGGAGAGACTGAAGCAATGGCTTGTGTCTCTGATGCAGATCACAGTAGTAAAAACTCTGTTGTTGGGGATGATCTTTGCTTTGAAACTTATGATGTTGCACTTTACTCAGAGGAAGGGGAGGAAGTTTTACATTCTCAGAAAAGTACTGCAGGCAACGGGAGCATAGATAATGTTTTGTGCACACTGGGAGCTAGTTCTGAAAGTGTTAGCACAGAAGCTTTGTACACTAAGAGAAATAAAGCTGGAAGTGGGACTGGTTCTCAGGATGTGGCGTCGACT